TTGTCTTTTTCGTTATACAGCTACATTTAGATAGAAATAACCCTGTATAACGTTAGCTGTTTTATCCTCACCATTTCCTGACACTGAATTTACTTCTCTGATAATCAAATCCCTTATTAACTTTCAGTCTACTTTGTTACATAACAGTCTCTGTGTGACGGTTTCTTTAATCAAGCCCAGAATCTTCAGCAAAGAAACCTTAAGGTAATAGAAGTAACCAATAACAGTATGTACCAGTAAAATGTTGTTATCAAAATAAACAACACTACAATCTTTTTATACAAGGTCACTCGACTCAATCATGTAGAAAGTTGTTGTCAAAATATACAACCCAACAATCTGGATTGAGACACTGTTATTTCAGTTTCTTAACAATCCAACAAAATCTCAGCTCAATGGCACCATTTGAAAAATAAAACATGTTTAAAATATGTTTTTAAGGATCATAGTTGTCATTTTTGATTTTGGACTAACATTGAGAATTTCAACAGTGGAACATGAGAAGATTGAGATATTTGCTGATGAAAAAACCCATGATTCTTACAAAATGCCATGACTGTCATTTTGACTTTAAGATGAGGCTGAAAAATACCAATACTTTTTTGGCTTCCTTTCTTTAACATTCTCACCAATATTTCCATTTCATTGATACCAATGGAATTTGTAAAACAAATGTTGAAAATGGTGTTTTTTCAAGATGGTGGTCATGATTGCCATATTGGATTATAGACTGATCCCAAAATTAACAAGACACTGAAAGGTCAGTAAGGACCCTGTTATGTGGCCAGAAATCACCTCCCCATCCAACCCACCAACCCATCCATAGACACACACACACCCCAGACTTACAGCAAGACCTTAAGTACACTGCCACAAAAGTCAAGAAAGACCATTACCAAAAAAAAAAAAAAAAAAATGGCCCAAGGGAACCCAAGTTATATCAGGGAACCAATTATCTACTTAGAGTAACAGTAATCTGGACCATTCACCCTGGAACCTGAAAAGAAATCCAAAACAAGTCATCTTTATAAGGAAGCATTGTACGAGGTTTGAGTTTGATTAGCCAATGCAAACTTATTGCAGGGAAACTGATTTTACTATCTATAGTAATAGTGATCTTGACCTTTGACCTTCAAAACTTTAAAGCAATCCCAAGTAAACAATTTCAGTAAGGAAGTACTGAATAAAGTTTGGGTTAGACAGGCCAAAGCAAACTCTAGTTTTCACATGGAAACTAATTTTCTATTTATAGTAACAGTGACCTTGACTGTTGACCTTTAAATAAAGAAGGTGACCTTGACTGTTGACTTTTAAATATGGAAGTACTGTATGAAGTTTGAGCATGATCAGCCTAAGGAAACTGAAGTTATTGCAGGGAAACAACAGTGCTGACTGACAGACATACAGACGGACACAATGATTACTACAGGGCACCTGCACTTTCATGCGGGGTCCTAACAACACTTGGTTAGGACAATAGATATTAGGTTAAATTTGAGCTAAATCCCTAAGGAAATTTGAGAAGAGGTTCAAAATTGAAATTTAAGTTTACAGACGAAACACAACACCACTTTTCAGGATGACATGACCTATCCATTTGGGTCAGATGCCAAAATAATGAAGAACAGATCAAATATCTACATTCAAATAATCTTTGTTACATTCAATTTGATAATTTAAAATATTTAATAGCACTATAAACAATAGATCCTAGAGGGACCATTGTTTGATCTTCATTGTTTTTTTTTTTTAATTAGATCTTTCTCTCGTTTTCTTTTTATCTTTTTTTTTTAATTATATGGACCCTGAAAAATTCCTCTTAGGTAATAGTTTTTAATCATCATCTCCAAGATGGTAGCCTCTTGACCATTTCTTATTTTCAAGATCAGCTCCAAAATAGATAGAGCATAACTAAGGACCGAAGGGGAAACTACTTATGAAAATAACCAAAGAAACTTTCATTGTTAGAATTTAAGACGGCCACCTGGCAAGCATTTTTTTTCTGTTCTGTCCCGTAAATGGACAATTCACAACTTAGGACCATTGGAAATCTACATAAAGAAGGATCCATCAAACACCTCAACTCCAGAAATTAATAACAAGAATTGTTAGAGGTGGGACAGGATGGACTATGGATGCAGGATTTTGAACAGCACACCATCCGATGATGGTTTAAAGCGTATCTGGTTAGGATGTAGTCAGATAAACTCAAGCTCTTTCAATTCTGGTCAGCTGTGTCGGAGGTAGCTGCATATCACCATGACAATAATGCACCATTAGGGTACATATTCCCCAGCCTCAACATTCTACAAACAGTCAGACAGTTGTGGAGAAGTTCCTCTGATACAGGAAGCATGGAGTATATCAGCTAACACAGGAGCCGTCTGGTGTTCCTGGTTCACAAGGAAACTTAACATATAATTAATAACAAATTCCTTAAACTTCTTGTTCATATTAGATAAACTGCAGGTGAAATATATATTTCAGCCTGGGATGGACACAGTAAAAGCAGTACCCACATTTAAAAGTCAGTAGGACTCTATAGAACCAGGACTGATATATTTATAACACATTAAGTCAGTAGGACTCTATAGAACCAGGACTGATATATTTATAACACATTAAGTCAGTGTGACTCAATAGAACAAGAACTATTATATTTATAACACATTAAGTCAGTCTGACGCAATAGAACCAGAACTGATATATTTATAACACATTAAGTCAGTGTGACTCAATAGAACCAGGACTGATATATTTATAACACATTAAGTCAGTGTGACTCAATAGTACCAGGACTGATATATTTATAACACATTAAGTCAGTGTGACTCAACAGAACCAGAACTGATATATTTATAACACTTTAAGTCAGTAGGACTCTATAGAACCAGGACTGATATATTTATAACACATTAAGTCAGTAGGACTCAATAGAACCAGGACTGATGTATTTATAACACATTTAGTCAGTAGGACTCTATAGAACCAGAACTGATTTATTCATAACACATTAAGTCAGTAGGACTCTATAGAACCAGGACTGATGTATTAAGATATTTCCCCAGAACTTGATCACTATGAAACCAATTTTACAAGTGTGTATGTACTGAAATATAAGTACATACACACAAACAAACAGTGTCACAGACCTAAAGGGTAACTATTGAACTGACAACTAATATAATTAAGTTAGAATTCAATAATGTATAGCTTCCATAGAGAATTCCACGAATCCTTTCATACAGGTTTGAAAAAATAACTAATCATCATTTAGGGCCATACAGCCATCACAGCAAATTGAAATTATAAAAACCTCTTTGATGTTGTTATAAGCCATCTTAATTTGATTATAACAGAAAATTGTTTGTTACTTTTAGAAATAGCCTGCAGCGTTGAGTCAATTTAACATGTGACCTTCACATGGGGCCTAAAGACAATATAATGTTTCACTTTGACACAGAGCCTGCAGTCTACAGACAATTTATCTCCTGACCTTGACACCAATGATTTAAAAAGTACACTGCTTAAAAACCCTGAAACATGAATTCATTTATGGTTTTCTCACACTTTTGCAAGAACTTTGTTCACAATGCCAGGAAGTCACGATGAAATTGATCTGGAACGAGATGTGATGTAGGTATATAAGTATTGCCTCCTCACCTTCACTAAAATTCTGTAAGTATTCATGATCAACATATCTTTCACAACTACCACAGAACATGAAAATGGCATTTAATTAACATTTTGGAATATTTTCTCCCGGTTTGATAATGGCATTTGATGAAGTCTCTTTTATTCCATCAAAAGGAAACAAATATTTCAATACTGAAGATTTTAAACAATCAGCTGAACTAGACTGAAGAAGTCAAAATAGTATAATTTTGTTGTGGTCTATCCCAAGAGAGCTGCTCTGTCAGTACGTAATCTACACATCTACATACTGATGCTGCTGTAATCTGCTGCCAGATTTCTCTGCCAATTATTGTTAGTTTTTAATGGTTTTTTCACCTGGAATCAATCAATCAAAATGAAAATTAATTTTGATGCTGGGTAGGAAGCTGTTTTAGATTAGGAATTCTGACAATTACTCAGGATTTACAACAGAAAAGGAAATTAATTGCATGTATTATCAAGTTCCACATCATAGAAAGCATTACCCAGAAAATGGGAGTGTTTATTTTTGTTTTTTTTTACACCTGGTCTGTCTCCAGTTTCCACTAACTGGTATTTCTATCAGGGTAACAGGGTAATGTATACCTAACCACAAGTGTATTAAGTTACAATTGGACCTTAATCACACTAAGATTATTACCAGGTATGTGATCACAATGTTCACCAACATACCACAGGATCCATATCTCAAATGTCTGAATAAAGATCTTAAACAGACATCTTAGAAGATAAAGGATCCATATCTCAAATGTCTGAGTAAAGATTCTAAACTGACATCTTAGAAGATCCAGGATCCATATCTCAAATGTCTGAATAAAGATCTTAAACAGACATCTTAGAAGATCCAGGATCCATATCTCAAATGTCTTAATAAAGATCTTAAACAGACATCTTAGAAGATCCAAGGATTAGGGAAACAGTGAATAATCATGCAAGGGTTTATGAATCAGAGATCACTAAAGCAGGGATTAATGAATCAAGGATTAGCAAAGCAGGGATTAGCAAAGTAGGATTTAATGAATCAAGGATTACAAAGCAGGGATTAGCAAAGATGGATTAATGAATCAAGGATTAGCAAAGCAGGGATTAGTATAGCAAGGATTAATGAATCAAGGATTAGCAAAGCAGGGATTAGCAAAGTAGGATTTAATGAATCAAGGATTAGCAAAGCATGGATTAGCAAAGCATGGATTAGCAAAGCATGGATTAGCAAAGCAGGGATTAATGAATCAAGGATCAGCAAAGCAGGGATTAATGAATAAATTATTAGGAAAGCAGGGATTAGCAAATGAGGGATTAATAAATCAAGGATTAGCAAAGCAGGAATGAATGAATCAAGGATTAGCAAAGCAGGGATTAATGAATCAAGGATTAGCAAAGTAGGATTTAATGAATCAAGGATTAGCAAAGCAGGGATGAATGAATCAAGGATTAGCAAAGCAGGGATTAATGAATCAAGGATTAGCAAAGCAGGGATTAATGAATCAAGGATTAGCAAAGCAGGGATGAATGAATCAAGGATTAGCAAAGCAGGGATTAATGAATCAAGGATTAGCAAAGTAGGATTTAATGAATCAAGGATTAGCAAAGCAGGGATTAATGAATCAAGAATTAGCAAAGCAGGGATTAATGAATCAAGGATTAGCAAAGCAGGGATTAATGAATCAAGGATTAGCAAAGCAGGGATTAATGAATCAAGGATTAGCAAAACAGGGATTAACAAAGAGGGATTAATGAATCAAGGATTTGCAAAGCAGGGATTAATGAATCAAGGATTAGCAAAACAGACATTAATGAATCAAGGATTAGCAATGCATTAGTGATGCATGAATCAAGAAAGATTTTTGGTTATCTCACACAAATGACTTGAATGACTGGATCACATGGGTACATGGTCAAGTCTACAAGGTCACCTGTACATGTGGTCATTTGTCACATCAATACTAGCCTGCAGGTAAGAGTGCTGGCACTGATGGACAAATGATTAATGACAACATTACAGTAGGGTCCAAGCAGCCTCCTCATCAGTATTCAGGTCATTAATACAGGATGTATTCAACAAAGGATTTCTGTGAGTAAACAAGGTAAATTTCTGATTGATGTTCACCACTTAATGGGAAAAGTCACCTGACTCTTCATCATTTGTGTAGTCTTACACCAGCCTATCTGGATCTCTATCACCACTATCAACCATGAAATTCACAATAATATTGATGATTTTAAATTTGACTAAATACGTGATATATATTGATTTTGATAATGACTCAATTGTCCTTCACTCACTGTATACTGTCCCAAGGGTGCAGTCTGTTATTGATTCATGCTATAACAGAAACAGATCTAGATGATACTAGAACAAATATTGTATAGCAAACAACGGGTAGATGTTTTCACCCAGGTAACAACATGTAAATACCTTTGTAAGGTAACAACAGGTAAATACTTTCACTCAGGTAACAACAGGTAAAATACCTTTACTCAGATAACAACAGGTAAATACCTTCACTCTGGTAACAACAGGTAAATACCTTCACTCAGGTAACAACAGGTAAATACCTTCACTCAGGTAACAACAGGTAAATACCTTCACTCAGGTAACAACAGGTAAATACCTTCAATCAGGTAACAACAGCTAAAAAAATCATTAGACATTCTACATATATTAACATATAACATACACATGGACATACCTGTCAGGTAATATGTAACATACACATATACATACATGTCAGGTAATATGTAACATACACATGGACATACCTGTCAGGTAATATGTAACATACACATATACATACATGTCAGGTAATATGTAACATACACATGGACATACCTGTCAGGTAATATGTAACCTACACATGGACATACCTGTCAGGTAATATGTAACATACACATGGACATACCTGTCAGGTAATATGTAACATACACATGGACATACCTGTCAGAACATAAACATGGACATACCTGTCAGGTAATATGTAACATACACATGGACATACCTGTCAGGTAATATGTAACATACACATATACATACATGTCAGGTAATATGTAACATACACATGGACATACCTGTCAGGTAATATGTAACATACACATATATATACATGTCAGGTAATATGTAACAGACACATGGACATACCTGTCAGGTAATTTGTAACATACACATGGACATACCTGTCAGGTAATATGTAACATACATATGGACATACATGTCAGGTAATATGTAACATACACATGGACATACCTGTCAGAACATACACATGGACATACCTGTCAGGTAATATGTAACATACACATGGACATACCTGTCAGGTAATATGTAACATACACATATACATACATGTCAGGTAATATGTAACATACACATGGACATACCTGTCAGGTAATATGTAACCTACACATGGACATACCTGTCAGGTAATATGTAACATACACATGGACATACCTGTCAGGTAATATGTAACATACACATATATATACATGTCAGGTAATATGTAACCTACACATGGACATACTTGTCAGGTAATATGTAACATACACATATATATACATGTCAGGTAATATGTAACATACACATGGACATACCTGTCAGGTAATATGTAACATACACATGGACATACCTGTCAGGTAATATGTAACATACACATGGACATACCTGTCAGGTAATATGTAACATACACATGGACATACCTGTCAGGTAATATGTAACATACACATGGACATACCTGTCAGGTAATATACACATCGACATACATGTCAGGTAATATGTAACATACACATGGACATACATGTCAGGTAATATGTAACCTACACATGGACATACCTGTCAGGTAATATGTAACATACACATGGACATACCTGTCAGGTAATATGTAACATACACATGTAAATAACTGTCATGTAGTATGTAACATACACATGGACATACATACACATGTATACAGGTAATATGTAACATACACATGGACATAAATGTCAGGTAATATCTAACATACACATATACATACATGTCAGGTAATATGTAACATACACATGGACATACCTGTCAGGTAATATGTAACCTACACATGGACATACCTGTCAGGTAATATGTAATCTACACATGGACATACCTGTCAGGTACAGTGTAACACACACATGGACATACCTGTCAGGTAATATGTAACATACACATATACATACATGTCAGGTAATATGTAACATACACATGGACATACCTGTCAGGTAATATGTAACATACACATGGACATACCTGTCAGGTAATATGTAACATACACATATACATACATGTCAGGTAATATGTAACATACACATGGACATACCTGTCAGGTAATATGTAACATACACATGGACATACCTGTCAGGTAATATGTAACATACACATGGACATACCTGTCAGGTAATATGTAACCTACACATGGACATACCTGTCAGGTAATATGTAATATACACATGGACATACCTGTCAGGTACAGTGTAACATACACATGGACATACCTGTCAGGTAATATCTAACATACACATGGACATACCTGTCAGGTAATATGTAACATACACATATATATACATGTCAGGTAATATGTAACATACACATGGACATACTTGTCAGGTAATATGTAACCTACACATGGACATACCTGTCAGGTAATATGTAATATACACATGGACATACCTGTCAGGTAATATGTAACATACACATGGACATACCTGTCAGGTAATATGTAACATACACATGTACATACCTGTCAGGTTATATGTAACCTACACATGGACATACCTGTCAGGTAATATGTAACATACACATGGACATACCTGTCAGGTAATATGTAACATACACATGGACATACCTGTCAGGTAATATGTAACATACACATGGACATACCTGTCAGGTAATATGTAACATACACATGGACATACCTGTCAGAACATACACATGGACATACCTGTCAGGTAATATGTAACATACACATGGACATACCTGTCAGGTAATATGTAACATACACATATACATACATGTCAGGTAATATGTAACATACACATGGACATACCTGTCAGGTAATATGTAACATACACATGGACATACATGTCAGGTAATATGTAACCTACACATGGACATACCTGTCAGGTAATATGTAACACACACATGGACATACCTGTCAGGTAATATGTAACATACACATGGACATACCTGTCAGGTAATATGTAACACACACATGGACATACCTGTCAGGTAATATGTAACATACACATGGACATACCTGTCAGGTAATATGTAACATACACATGGACATACCTGTCAGGTAATATGTAACATACACATGGACATACCTGTCAGGTAATATGTAACACACACATGGACATACCTGTCAGGTAATATGTAACACACACATGGACATACCTGTCAGGTAATATGTAACATACACATGGACATACCTGTCAGGTAATATGTAACATACACATGGACATACCTGTCAGGTAATATGTAACATACACATGGACATACATGTCAGGTAATATGTAACCTACACATGGACATACCTGTCAGGTAATATGTAACCTACACATGGACATACCTGTCAGGTAATATGTAACACACACATGGACATACCTGTCAGGTAATATGTAACCTACACATGGACGTACCTGTCAGGTAATATGTAACGTACACATGGACATACCTGTCAGGTAATATGTAACCTACACATGGACATACCTGTCAGGTAATATGTAACACACACATGGACATACCTGTCAGGTAATATGTAACATACACATGGACATACCTGTCAGGTAATATGTAACATACACATGGACATACATGTCAGGTAATATGTAACCTACACATGGACATACCTGTCAGGTAATATGTAACCTACACATGGACATACCTGTCAGGTAATATGTAACATACACATGGACATACCTGTCAGGTAATATGTAACCTACACATGGACATACCTGTCAGGTAATATGTAATCTACACATGGACATACCTGTCAGGTACAGTGTAACACACACATGGACATACCTGTCAGGTAATATGTAACATACACATGGACATACCTGTCAGGTAATATGTAACATACACATGGACATACATGTCAGGTAATATGTAATGTACACATGGACATACATGTCAGGTAATATGTAACATACACATGGACATACATGTCAGGTACAGTGTAACACACACATGGACATACCTGTCAGGTAATATGTAACATACACATGGAAATACCCTCAGGTACAGTGTAACATACACATGGACATACCTGTCAGGTAATATGTAACATACACATGGATATACCTGTCAGGTACAGTGTAACATACACATGGACATACCTGTCAGGTAATATGTAACATACACATGGACATACCTTTGAGTTAGAACTTGAGTTAGTATCCTGGCGTCTCATCTTAAGATCCACGTTTACAGAAGCAGAATTATTTCCTTGCTGGTTTTACAGCACAATAACTCAAAGTGCAAATCTATGTCACCTAAAGAAAATTAGGCTATCACGGTGGAAGTACGTACATGTTCGGAGAGTGTGCTTAGATTTAAACATGACAATTATAAACATCATGTTTTGCGAATGTCATGATCAGAGGTGCAAGTTACATCACAAATGTCATGTTCACACCACACTCATGACAAACATCAAGTCCAACGTAGGTTATACATCTCAATCCTTTGGTTGGGTGCTGACATATGGCACAACAATAACAGCTGAATATGTGACAGAAATGCAGTGTGTCTGTCGATTGTTTTAGTGATTTTGTGTAGGCATGTGATCAGTAACAGTGTGACAGCTAGGACACCACC